AAGCTTGAAATTGCTTTCATGCTTATTTAATCATGTGAGTGTTTTTTTAAAATGTCAAAAAGGAATTTAGATTATAGATGAATTCATTTGTTCTACCAATGACTGTGGTCATGCTTTGTGACAAGCGTGGGAAACTTTGATCTACATTTTTTATGATGCAATCAGAATGATTAATTTGGGGAAAGATCAAAGTAAAGATGTACTTCAAATTAAAACATTTAATCAATCTTTTTTAAGTCAATATTTATCATATTGCTACAGAACAGAAATTATGTTAAGGCTATCTGAGATTTTTGATTTCTCTTTTCAATCAAGTTTATTAAAAGATGGGAATCTCCATAGCATTTTGGAAAATGCATGGATTATCAAACTTTATTTTAAAAATCGGCTTTGCTGGATATTAACAGTGTGACATTATTTCCTCTTCTGTAAAATGAGGTTAATTGTACTTCTTTTTCATCCTTATTGAAAGGATTACAGACGGTTCATGTAAGTTTTTACATGAAAATTCTAGTACCTTGCTTGGCATGTAAGCTCAAAAAACAGAAGATTCCACTATTATTATTGTTATTAATAATATACCCTCAAATCAATCATAAATCATGTAATCAATTTAATAAACTACCATGCAATTGGATATTTTCAATCATTTACTATATGATTTTTTTTTTTTTTGCAGTAAAAATTAAATCTTCCCGTGGAGGCTGCAAGCATGGCAAATGGCCGAATTTTTTCAATCATTTACTATATGATTTTTTTTTTTTTTGCAGTAAAAATTAAATCTTCCCGTGGAGGCTGTAAGCATGGCAAATGGCCGAATTTTTGGTAATAGAATCCTTGATACTTGATACTCAGGCAACTCAGGTTAGTGATTGTTGTTCTCCATTCCCTTCAGAAACAAAACAAAACAAGACAAAACAACCCTACAAACTTCTGTGTTCCATGAACCAAGACTTGGCAATAGAGTAGCTGGTCTTCTTACCTTTCCATGTTGTTGAGTCCATTGATACAATCTGCATCCTGGCCAGTATTGGTTTACGCAGAAGCTACTGTACCCTCCCTACCTTCCTGCATAGGGATTGTGTCTGTGCTTCTCTCTGCCATGCCTGCTTCACTCTTGGCAGTGTGGTGAAATATTCTATAGCCACTCCTGCAGGATTGCACTTGGCACAGACTAGTGTGGGGAGCTCTGTGAGGTTTGCTGCCTCCCCAGGCTTCACTTGAGTCAAAGGTCCTCTTTGTGATCTAAACCTATCTGAGGCTTTTATTGGATAAATGACATAGTATATGGAACCCATAGTCAAGGCCATACTAATACGTTAGATATTGCTGCCTCTAGCTTTCTTCTCAGCCAGGACAATCTTTATCTTGTAGCTATATGTAGACAGGTAGATGGGAGCCTTTCAAATCTGTTTAATACATATACTTTATGTCTAAAGTCCATCAGTCTTATATTACTCAAAATGCAGGCTCTCGATCTCAACATCCCCTTTCTTGTAAACATTGTTGTTGTGGTTAAAAACAATGTTCTCTTCTCTTGTTCAGCACTAGTGTTTCTTCTGTGATAACCCTGCCTTGAGTTAATGCAGGCAAAGATCTAGTCTGAGTGGTAAGAGAGTCACAGGGTTATAAAACCATGGCGAAAATGTAATAATTATGAGGAACAAAAAAATCATATTGGTTACTATATCAAAACAGTAACAAACCCATGGCTGGGTTTTCTGTCATTGCTTTATCAAATCAAGCCCATTGTTTGGAAAGGATGAAGGAGAATAATACGCAGGATATCCTCATTACAGATTTGTTCTCCCCTTGCTTTATAAAAACAGTAACATTTTTAATAATAAAATCAGACACTGATATATAAAGTTTCAGAATTTCACTCTAACTTTTGATCTTTGATTCTGCAGATAAAGGAATTTCAGTTGAAGCACCATATGCTACTAAATAATTATTTTAACAGTTTGAATTTTAGAAAAGCTATCTCAGCTGAAGAGACAGTAATTATAAAATTGACTAAACATGAGATTTACTTTGGTTTCATTGAATAGCTTCCTTAGGAATAGCTCTCCTTCTTTGCTTCAAACCCGAGCCTCTCACATCCCTCTCCTGTGGCACTTCTTTAAAGCTAACCTGTATTATGGACATTTGTGTGGTCAAAACAGGACCAGACCCAGAAAGAGAAAGCTTGGAGTTTTTAACCCTGTTTCAAACATCATACCAGGTCATTTCAATTCTCTGACCATCAGCTCAGCCTGTGGATTTCATAACTGTCCTTGCATTGTTTTCAGTCTGAAGTTTACTGGCTAAAATTTTCACCTCCTTGTGCATCAAAATGAAGTCTCAATTTCCGATAGTACTCAGTAGCTATTTGCTAAATCAAATAGAAGGACAGATGAGAAACAAAACATTTATTGATCAATCCAGGGGGATAAATGGGGAAAATAATAGTAGTGTTCAGTTATTTTATTTGACATTCATTGACAGAGGGTTGGCAGGGGTTTGGTTACAAACTACCCTTTCCCTTCCCTTCATCTTAGCCAATGATTGTGAGTTCCTTCTCTTATATCTGTAGAGTAAAAGTTTTAATACTCTTTCTTTGTACAGTCTACAAGAGGTAGTATATATTATAGTAATTCTTAGCAAAGAAAAGGGCTGAAGATTATGTACTAATTCACATTTCACTTGACAAGCTTCTGAATAAACCCAGAAAGGGTTGCCAGGTAAATACCAAGTCATATCACTTTATTTCAAAGAAGATCAAAATAGCTAGTTCCTTGACAGCAATCTAAGCCTTTTCAGTAGTTCAACAAGTGGCATTACGTGTTTTAGCTCACTGCAATAGCTTCACCTTTTATCATGTTTTCATGTTGAGGAAATTTATCTATTTCAAAGACGACCAAAAAATAAGCTTACCTCCATCCTTAGCCCATCCCATCTGCTATTCAATAATGTATTCTTTGCTTGTGGGTACCTGAAATAGTGAGAAAGAATAGAAAAAGAAAATTAAATATAACTCAACAGCATTTTGTACAAGGCAAACATTTACAATTTTAATTGATGACAGACACACACTTCATAAAACTATTAGCATGCAACTCCAGCTGCAAAAACTGAACAGCAATATGCCTAAGCTGGTTAGCAGCAAAAAAGTAAACCAATCACATCGACAAAAAGCCACCGTACACAAAAAAACTGTATTTAAAAGATTAACAGTTTTGGCATTCATCCCTACCATCAAGTCTTTCACTTTCTTTTTTCCATCAAAATTTAGCTTACGTTTGATGTTAGCAAGAGTTGCATTACTATTATTGTTAATTTTAGTTCTGTTTATTGCCTTGAGGGTTATATATTGTAAAATAATTTTGGTGCCTCTAGTTAATGTTAATTAGTTGTTTTAATAGCCTATAGACCTATTTGTTATGTTTTTGTAGGTTTACTTTTTTAACTATCAGGAACTAAATAACTGAGAATATTTAACATTACTGGTGCATAGGCAAAATTACAGAGTTACTATTAGTGTTACCTGTTTAACGTTTAGTCATCCTTTGAGTCCTGCGACATATTTCCTTAATAATCATCAGCCATCAAGTCTGATAGTCTCAAAAGAAATATCAGCCCTCTAAACTGCCTTCAAGGGAGGTGATATTTAGCACTGAAAATTACAAATAAAGTTTTTGAGGTTGAATAGCAACAACTGGCCAGTGACACTGATGATTTGTTTGTCAAAACAAATTGTTATAAACTACGCAAATGAAGTCCACGCACTCCTTTGAGTGAAAACAATAAAGTGAATCTACGCAATGCTTACATGTTGGATGGGATATTTAATGTGCGGGGAAACTCAAAGGTTGAAGAACTAGGCATTTAGACAGTGGTAAGTGGTAATCTTACCTCTTTATACTCCATTACTCTTTCTCACGAGAGACATGCTAATGCAAACAAGTCAATCAGAATTTGTGTTTAGCAAGATAAAGCTTAGAGGATAGTTTAAAATCCATTTATTATTCTAAATCCATTTTTTTCCATTAACATGTTATACATTAGTGTTTACTAACCATGATTCATGTAACAGTTTAGTTTGTTAACTTTTAAATTATTTAACAACCATAAGTTATTAATACATTTTTAAGTATTACACAAATATCTTAAAACAGGCTTGGGTTCATTTTTGTAATTTTTAAATAGAAAACATTTTAGGCATCTCTTGAAGAAGAAATAAAGCAGGCATTTAAAGCTAGAAAACAAGTAATTCCAAATTTAGTTTTTACAAAAGTTTTCAGCTTTATTGACAAATTATGGCAAACATATTTGACAAATTGTGGTTTCCTATTTAGAGAAGCTTACACATGGAACTTTATGTGTGTTTTTTTTTCTTTTTTAACAAATACAGGTTAAAACACTGAACAAATTCAGTTAGCTACATACATACAGTAGCTGCTTGTTTTCAACCCCATTAAAACAGCATTTAAAATTAAATTTACAAACTTAATATAGAACATCTTCATCTAACTAACAGATATTAAAAGACAGGTTAAAACATCTTATCTACAACTTTATTATCAGCTAGTTCAAAAATCATATTACAGTCTTTTAGCGACCCTAAACAAAGTTTCTGCTAGTTGGTTGAAACTCAAAATCTGTTAACAGATTCATGCTCTTTCTTAAAAAAAAAAAAAGAAAAAAAAAGAAAAAAGAAAGAAAAAAAGATTACACACAACAATGAAAAACAACCAAGAGAATATCATCCTACTGAAAAGCTTATAGACTATGCTTGCCAATGTCTCTTTCAGTCTGTTTTGTAAAATAATACTAATGTCAATGTCACACCAACAGTATAGAGGGAAATACAAGAAATATACGGGAATAATCATGAGCAGTTATCCCTAGAATAGAAAAAAACAAACAAAAAAAGGACTATTACTTGTCTTGTTGCTGTTTATGTGGAGACCACAGGCTATGAATTGTCTTTGAGATGAGGTCACAGGTGAGGAGGACCTTCAATATCTACCATAGGGGTGTTCCCTGTATCCCCCTCTGGCTGACCTTGGTGGCAGCGCCTTCAAGCTAGAGCGGGTGGTGGCCCATTCTTCTGGTGCTATGAACAAGAGAAAGACAGTAACATACATATGACCACACAGTTATCAAAAATAATCACATAAGGCACACTAGTAGACCAAGAAAAAGAGAATAAAGATCCCAACACTGACAGCTAAAACCTTACCACTCATCCAAAAGTGTGTGTGTGTGTGTGTGTGTGTGTGTGTGTGTGTGCGCGTGTATCTGCCGAATTGAAATTAATGGAATGGGTTACGCAGAATTGTGGATTTGGAAATGACAAATTAGGATATGACAAACAGGTTAACTGACTAGATCAAATTGCCACCATTTCTTTCAATCTGAATTGGCTTCCCAATTCAGATTTTAAGGTACCAAACAGTATATGGAATATGAAATAAATTCATGTTTATTATATGAATAATAAAGCATCACTAAATACATTTTTTCTTTACTGAAGATGTCCTATATGCCAGTCACTACACTATGCCATACATATGGGGACAGTTGAAGAGCCTTAAAAAAGATTACAGGGGAAAATTAACAGGCGATTTCATAGATTACAACACAGTTATAATTGATATTTTAAGAAAATGCTGGAGAAAGTATAGAGGAAAAAGCTACTAACTTTCATCATTCATTTGAACTTGGGTTGAACTCTAACATTTAATCATCTCAAAGAAGGGATTTTCTGAGCAAATATACTCAGTAAGAACACAGGTGCTGTTTAACTTAGAGAATTCACATTCTTTAAAGGCTTTCTTATATTGATTATTTTGTATCATCTGGCCTTGTTTCTAAACTGGACTCTAAGATCTATGAGAGGAGAAACCATCTACAGTGGTAAACACATAGTAAGAACACCATAAATATTTGTCAGCTCCATATAAATAAATGGTGCTACTAAATAAAAGAGGAATTTTAAAATAAATTACGCAAATAAGTAAAACAGGACTATTCAGAAAGGCATTGTTAGCAATTAGGTTGTCATGTTGCATGTATCTAATATATATCAATAATTCTTTTAAAAGTTCCTGTTTTTTTTTTTTTTTTCATTAACTCAGATTGGTATTTTTACCTAGTGAATCAAGTTTTACAGACTGCTTGGAGTGCATCTCCATTACATGCTAATCTGCATCACTGAGGAACATTTTACTTTGATAGAAGAGTGTAAATTACTCAGGTAACTCTTCTTGTACTTTAAATGTTACTCTAGTGACTGCAAAAGCTTCTGCGTCTCAAATACTGTGCTCTCAGCAGAATCAGGCCTATTAAGAGGTGTGCATTTTTCTATGTGTCCTCATCTCTGCGATGGGACAAGGTACTTTGGGGAGGATTCACAGTGGGAAAGAAAAATCTGGATGATTTTTAAAGTTGCAAAAACTGCATTCTATTATTGTTCCAGAGATACTTTAAACATAGAGGTTTTTGGGAAAAACATGAAGCATAGGAACGAAGAGCCAATTTATGAAAAGTAGGCATTATTTAAGTACCTGGGAAGTAAACTTTTAATGTTTATCTTTTAGGAAGTAGTTTTAAAACGTCACCTTCAGGGGAAATTAATTTTAGGGATCAGTTCAGAAAGCATATAGGATACCATGGAGATTATAGGGGGCATAGCTACCACGTTCACACTTTGCCAGTCCTACATAGCTCTGTTTCAGATTTCTGAAATCTGAAAAGGAATCTCAAAACAATGTTTTTTTAAACCCACAACAAAAGAGGGCAGCTCATGCTATTTATTTTTGGTATACTGTAAATCAATATGCATAAACCACAACTAAAGCAGGAAACCTAAGTTAATCTCTATCGTTACAAACTGCTAATGTTTTGGGTTTGCAAATCATGTAAGAGCATTACAACATGGCTGATTAAAATGCACCCTGGTTCTGAGCCACTCAGTTTGTTGGTCTTGGTTAGGTTTCCGATGTCTCTAAGGAATATCATTCTACTTAAAAGCACCTTTCAAATATATACTTATGTGTTATTTTAAGGCTATATATTCCAAAAGAATATGTTAAGTTAGATGTTTTGCTATTGTTGTAATTCACTATAACAATGAGGAAATTATAGAAAGAAAGTTTAGTTGTTGGGAAGACACAGAATTTTTACCTATAACTGTCTTATCATCTTTCTACCACCCCTTTCATTGGAGCCTATTTTTCCTCTTCTTTTTCTTTTTTCTTCTTCTTTTTTTTTTTTTTTGCCTAGAAAACAGGACTTAATTTATTTTACTCCCCTAGGATTATATAATAATTAGTGATTCCAACAACAATTAATTAGCCATATGAGTGAGGTCATAGTTTTAATTTTGTTAACAAGAATGTGGGCTGCTTAAACTGAATGAGTTGAGGTGTAAACCTAGGTGTTGTTCATTCATGCAAAGTGGAAGGCAGGGATATCTGCTGTGCTCTAAGCATTTTAAAATATTAATGTCATTTCGGAATGGAATGGCTTGACCATTTCATCTGCACAATTTGCATCCCCTCTATTTGTAATTGCAGAGTTTATTGTTTTAAGATGCAGAGGGGAAGAGAATAGTACCAAAGGAGAAGGATGGATGGCCAGCACCTCATTTCACAGATGAACATGGTGCATTATATTCCAAGAAGAAGTGTAGTTAACTTTCAGTTCACTATCATTTATGCTCTCAGGAAATTCAGTTAGCTTCTGGGAAGCATTTACAGCATTTGTCACTCTTTCAAATTTTTAATTAGATAGTCTCTGTCAGAAAAAAGTATCACTTGGGATAATCCATTTAGAGAGTAACAAAGGGCTTGGGC